CTTACTGCTGATCGTCGAGTTCGCGAGGGACGATTTCCTTCTCGAAGAACTAGGGCTTGAACGGAGAGTGAGGGAAGTTAGGGAATGTTTCAATTTTTAAATCGTGCATATTTTTTGTGATTTTTTTTTTAAAAAAAATCACAAAATAAGGTACGCAGTATTTAAATGGAATTATCTAATCGTATACTGGGGGTAGAGTGGGAGGTAATGTATGTATATATTATAAAATTGGAAGTATTTATTAATCAATCGTAAGTACATGTTGCATATACAATTGTGATTGAGTAGAAAATACAAAAAGAGAGTTATAACATATCCAATCAATAAAGTAGAGACTGCAGATCAATTAATTTACAATAGGGACTGAATTGCAAGTAAATTACACTGACAGGGATTTTAGTCTAAGTCTCCCTTATTTTATTATATTTAAAAATGTATTAATTATAACTTTATTAATTATGATATACTAATTACATTTAATACATATTTATTTTATTAAAAAAATTAAAAATCAAAAAAATCAAAAAATTTGACAAAAAAGATTTGAGAGAAGTGGACCCCACACCGATCTCTTATATATACGTGTATATATATAGATGATTCCATAAATTCAATTAAAGAATAATGAATACTAATGAATTACGTATTACAATAATAAACAAACACACGCGGATTCCAGGGCTCATTCAGGCCATGTATCTACTGATTCCAAGAATAGATGCGCAGAGAATGACTTTAATCAAAATTAAAATTTCAACTAAATGGGAATTCACGCACAAGATTGAGGGATTTTTTTTTCAAACAAACATGTTTTGCAAAAATTAATTTCTCAAAATAATTCAACACGGAAAGGCTCTGATACCAATTATTGGAACTTATCAGGAATTGCACCCTAAACCCAGGATCTACCGTGTTAAAATAACTTAGATAAAAAATAAAACAAATAAATCTAACATTATTCCTCAGTATAGTCGAATTTAGATTTGCAAATTAATGAAGGATATTGTGTTCTTCAAGCCTGCTCCTGAGAGAACCGCTAGGGTTTCTGCTGTTAATGACATAGGAGGAGTAATAGATGTTGTATCTAAACTTGAGATCGCAACTCTATTTATATCCTTTATTACTAATTGGTCTCATCATCCAATTAATAAGTTACCGAATTTCTGCACATAGGAGGTCTGCACTTATTAAATACATTTAAGCACAATAAATTAATAAATCACTTAATTTATGATTAATCTGACTGAATAGCTCAAATAATTACATTTAACCCACAATTAGATTTTTAATCCAACAATATAGCAATTCAAATTGAGAGACGATTGCATTTTATTATTATTATTATTATTATTATTATTATTATTATTATTATTATTATTATTATTATTATTATTATTATTATTATGACGTGCGCTACTCGAAAGTGTGCACTAGGTAAATCCTCGGTCGAATCTAATACCTCCAAACTAAGTCTGACAAGGAAAGTCACACTAGGCGAACCATGTGTTACAGGTGAATCTAGAGATGTCGGGGTTTGAACCCATGACTTCACGGTCACAAGGTTTTTGTTAAAATATATTTAAAAGTAATATATTATATTTATGGTAGTTGTGTTATTTAAGAGATTCATAGGATTTTGCATATCACTATAAATATGTATGTATTCTTACGATTGAAATAGAAAATTGCAGTTTCATATTCTAACAGAGCCAAATTTTTTCCGGGTACATCCATAACCCATTATATCCCGTATATATTTTTATATTTTATTGATGTATCTGCTTCTATCCACGATCATGCTGTCATTTTTATGCTGTCTCCATCTTTACTATTTCGATCTCCACTTACATAGTTCTATTTTCAACTCTGACGCCGTTGAGGGTCTTGTTTCCGACTCTAACTCTATTGAGAAAGAATGAATCATATTTCCAACTCTAGCTCTTTTGTGGGCGAGTGAGTCTTGTTTCCAACTCTAACGGTGTTGAGTTCTGCGTCTGACTCTGATCGAATGGACGGCTACACCACTTTTAGTCAATGGCAACTTCAAGTTTGTTCGTGGAAGATCTCGATTATATCTTTTTCGGTCACTTCTGACAAACTCAAGTTTGTTCAATCATATCTTGAGTTTGAGGAAGGATGCTAAAATATATTTAGAAACAATATATTATATTTATGATAGTTGTCTCATTTAAAATATTCGTAGAATTTTTGTCTTATTTAAACAATTTGCATATTACTATAAATATATACGTATTTTTATGATTGAAATAAATAATTTCAGTTTCATAACACTTTGAATTTGGTGGTTGGTGGATTTGAGGATGTGGCGGTGGCTTCGGCAAGAGAGGTAAGGAAAGTTTTCGTATGATTTGGAAGAGATATTTTCTCTCTTCATACAATAATTATATTTTCGGCTCTGTTACTGTGCTTATACCTAAAGAATCAGTAGGGTTTTTGATTAAATCTGAACGGTCAAATTTATTTAATTTAGCATCTAAGGGTCATTATTTTAATAAAGTTAATTTTGTAATTTTTTTATATATATTTTTTAAAGATAAAATAATTTGGGACGGTAAGACAATAAATATATTGCTACAGACAAAATACAATATATTTTTTTTTATTAATATTTTATATGCTATGGCTATTTAATAATTCTGTTTTTAACTAAACTATACTTGATTTCTTAAAAAATATTTTTTGTGTTTATAACCGCATTTGTAAATACAAAAAGAATTAATTTAAGGTTCTAAAAAGTTATGATCAATAAATTAAATTATATTTGCGACACAATATATATATATTATTACTAAATTTTTTGAAAAACCCAATAATTATATCAAAAAAAATATAATATTAATTGTGAAAGAGCACAATAATAATATTTAAAAGGTACAAATATTACTTCAAAAGAACACAATAAACTTTTTTCAAAATAGCACAATAATATAAAAATAAAAATAAGAGTGTAAGCATTGCTTTCGAATAAAAATCCAATTGGCAAATCAAAATGTATAATTACCTGTCCAAACTAATTATATTATAGTCAAATTTAACTAATAACAATAAAAGTGGGTGTGGGTGTGCGTGTGCTTGTAGTTAATGAAATTTTGAGATTGAGATTGATTGTTGTGATTTAGTAATATATGAATCCATAACATTTGATAGTGCAATAAACATCAACCTGAGAAAAATATATATATATATATATGAAAGAGCCACAGTAATTATATAACGGGAGGACAATGGTTATATTATGAAAGCACAATGATTATATTATAAGAGTATAATATTAACTATAAAAAAGTACAAATAATAATATTTAAAAAATACAAAAAATATGATAAAAAAACACAATAAGTTAAATTGCAGCACATAAGTCACCGCATATATATTTGGACACACCTGTAATTCATACTAATTTGAGAATAAAAAAATAACAAAACAAAACAAAACAAAAAAAAAAAAAAGAAATTTAGAAACTTATATAAAAACAGAATGATTATCTCTAGCACAATAATTACATCACAATTGTACAATTATTAACAATGATTATATTGGCAAAGCACAATATTAATCATAGAATAGGACAACAATAATATTTAAATAATACACAAAGGTGATGATCCATTTAAAAATAGAGAGAGACGGGAATTTAAGAAGTAATTGATTTAAAATAAAAAATAAAAAATAGAAGAATACAGATATTATTAAAGAAAAGCAAAAAAAATAAAAATAAAAACCCTCAAAAACTTATATGAAGAGCACATTAATTATATTACAAAAACATAATAATAATATCATAAAAATATAATATTAATTACAAAAAAATCACAATAATAATATTAATGAATTATTGTCATTGTATTTCGTACAGTTCTCTTCCTACAATAATACTACTATAAAAGTACAATATTAATTATAAGAAAGCATAACTATTCTTTTTCAAAAGCACAAAACACTGTTTAAATAGAGTGTCACTCTGTTAACATAGAACACTATTTCTGTTCACAAAAAACAATACTTTCAGTAACAGAGAACACTAAGCACTGTTTAAGTAGTAACTATTTATTGTCTTTATTTCATTCTTGTTTTACATATATAATTATTTAATTTATTAATTAATTTTAATTGATTGAGTTGTTTGATTTTTTTATGTTTATTTATTTAACATTTTACTTATGTTGTCTGTGAAGTAAGAAGATAAAAACATATAATAAATCAATTATATTAGTTAGATGAGAAAAATTTGAGAAACAATAAGTGATTTGTAGAAGATGAAAAAAAAACAAAGATAGAAGAAGAAGAAAATAAATAAAAAAAAATTACTTATTTACTCTTCAATTTAATATAAGTTATAGTGTTGTAGAACGAAAGAGTCACTGCATGAAATTTATCTTCCATTATTCGATTTATTGCATTTGAATTTGACACATCATCCTTTCGATGTTATTTTTTAAAAGACCTATTATATGTACTATTACAATGAAATACTTTATTCGGTCCCATAAAATATGTCTTATTGAAAGTGAGTATAACCTTGCTTTTTGAATAATTTTAAAAAATATGTTAGAATAATAGTAAAGAATAATTTAAAAAAATAGAAATAATTTTATTATAGAGTGGAAACAATGATTACTAAATATAAAAAATAAGACAATTGTTTTAGAAAGAACAAAAATAAAAAAATAAAACAACTCTATTGGAATGGGAGTATATAGTTTTTTTATAAAGTAGTTTTTTTTTTAATAAAAAGTTAAAAGCTATGTAATTTCCAAATACGTTCGTAGTTATTTTAGTTCCAACACCTTCAATTCACGGATAAAAAATACAAGACCTCAATTTTGTCCTGTGAAAGGACAGGTCTCGTATTTATTAAAAATAAAAATAAAAATAAAAATAAATTCCCTCATCCACAACTTGTATCAGTTGACCTAGCGCAAGTCAACGGTCAACAATAAAACGCCCCGCTAAGCATCTCAGAAACCTCCTAAAATCTACATCCCAAAGCTCCCCCCAAATTTATTACAACAATCACACGTACATTTAATACTATTATATTATGTGATGATACACACAATAAATTCCATAAACTAAACTACACACGCAGCCTTTCCCCTTTCCCTTTCTATTTCCTTTTCCACATTAAAAAAAAAAAAGTGAAAAAATCCAAATGGAGTTTTTCAACGGCGCCAAAGCCGTCAGGCTCAAATCCCACATCGGAAAATTCCTCGTCGCCGACGACGACGAGCTCACCGTCCGCCAGAGCCGCCGCAGCGCCTCCTCCACAAAGGCCCGATGGCTCGTCGAGCTCGTCGCCGGAAACCCCCACGCCGTCCGCCTCAAGAGCTGCCACGGCCGCTACCTCACCGCCGCCGACGATCCCTTCCTCCTCGGCATGACCGGAAAGAAAGTGCTCCAGACCATCCCTGTCTCCGGCGCCGGCGCCGCCGTCGAGTGGGAGCCGATCAAAGAAGGCTACAAAGTGAAGCTGAGGACCAGAGGGGGAAAGTTCCTTAGGGCCAATGGCGCAACGCCGCCGTGGAGAAATTCCATCACCCACGACCTCCCCCACCGCACCGCCACCCAGGATTGGGTCCTCTGGGAAATCGATTCCATCGATTTATCCGTTTTCGAAAATCAGTACCTGCCCGGAAATCTGTCCAGATTCAGTTCCTCCTCGCCGGAAGAACTTTCCGACTCGCCGTCGCTCGTTGAATTTCGACCGTCCATCTCGTCTGTCAGATCTTCCCATAACAATAGCCGGCGACCGGTATAATGTGCAGCATTAATTCCATAAGTATGGAACTTTCCAGATTTATTCATTTATTTATTTTGATATAGGAAGGAATGGAGTTTTTCAGCAGAGCCAAAGCCGTACGGCTGCAAAGCTATCAGGGGAAGTACCTAATCGCCGGCGAGGATGAGGAGGCCGTCCACCAAAGCCGCGACGGCGCGTCGAAGAACGCGCGGTGGACGGTGGAGCACGTGGAGGGGAAAAGCGACCGGATTCGTCTGAAGAGCTGCTACGGACTGTACCTAACCGCAGCGGACGAACCGTACCTTCTGGGGATGACGGGGAAGAAGGTACGCCAAACCCTAACGGAAAAGAAAACGGACGTTAGCGTCGAGTGGGAGCCAGTGAAGGAAGGCTTCCACGTGAAGCTAATGACGAATGACGGAAAGTTCCTGCGAGGTAACGGCGGCCCCCCGCCGTGGAGGAACTCCGTCACGCACGACGTGCCGCATAGGACGGCGACGCAGGATTGGGTGCTGTGGGGCGTGGATGTAGTGGACATTGTGGTTTCGGATTCGGATACGGATCCGGATACAATTACGGATTCGGGTTATTTTTCGCCGGAATCGAGCGTTTCATCGGCCGCCGATGATTGCTCCGGTTCGCCGGAGATCCGGTCGGCGTTTGCCGCCCGGCCTCCTGCTAAGCTGGGGAATTCGTCAATGAACAAGGTATTTCTCGTTTTACTTTTCTTTCGTTTTTAAAAAAAAATTTAAAAATAATTTTACTTTTCAAATTCAATGTCTAGAATATTAATTTTGAAAAATTTAAATATTCAATTTACTAAAAATAGTTAATCAGCTGATCATTGAGTTTGGTGAACAAATGTGTGACCAAATCAAAGTCAATGAAATGCATCACGTGTCAGCTTTATTTATTTTTTCTTTTTCTAATTTTCTAACACTCTTTGCAATTTTTTTTAAACTAATAAGGAAATAAAGTTTTGTTTAAGCAATCATTTTTATTAATCCTCCACCTCCAGCTAATTTGTCCATTTTAATTAGGCTATAAAACTTTAAAAATATATAATTAGTGAATAATTTAAAAATATATTATAAAATAATTATAATATAATAAAAATAATTATAAATTAAAATTAAAATGACTAAATAATTTAATTATAAATAAATTTTTAAAATATAATTAAGTATATAATTATATTTAAAAAAACAAATTATATTGAACGTAGGAAGTGTTTATTTTTATAAAATTAATACTACCTATAAGAAGTGTACTATTTGTTTGTTGCAGTAACTCTATTTAATATTAAAAATATCTTTATATTTGTATAATTTATTTGGCAAATGTCCTTGTATTTGTATTATAATAAATGTATATCTGTATTATTCTATTGATTTGTAGTAATAATTAATATTCAAATATTAACGCACAAAAAATCAATGGTACTTTTCTTATGGGACATAAGTAGTATTTGATTTTATACCTTTTAAGCTAGAATATATATTAAGCTACAAAAAAAAAAAAAAAAACTTATAGTTACTTTTTTATTTTTAAATTTTAAAGGTGTCCGCGATGAAAATGTTTAAAAACGCTGAATCAATTAGACTCAAGAGCTACCACAACAAATACTTATCGGCCCACACTGACAAAACATCGATCGTCCAAGATCGTATGTCTAACGAAGAATCCACCAAATGGACGGTAGAACTAGTCGAAGGAGTAGAAAACATTGTGCGCTTGAAAAGTTGTCACGGAAAGTACCTTACAGCTACAGACGAGGAATTTATGAAGCTTGGGAGAAAAGTTATCCAAAGCTTGCCACAGAGGCTCGACTCATCTGTTGAGTGGGAGCCGTTGAGGGATGGCATGATGGTGAAGCTCAAGACAAGGTACGGAAACTACTTGCGCGCCAACGGTGGGTTGACGCCATGGAAAAGCTCCATCACACACGATATCCCCAACGTGCACCACGAATGGGTGTTGTGGGAGGTTGAGGTAGTTGAGCCCCGACAAAAGAACACGATCAATAACGACAAGCCGGAAGATTCTTTCCACTTTCCCAACCATGTGGTTAGTCCTTATTTGGTTTTTACTATGGTTATTTCGTAATTTTTTTTTTTAAAGATACGATTTTTCATAAAAATATATTATTTTCATTAGAGGTGGCAAAAATAGGCGCAATCCAAACTTTTGGTCCGAACTTGGCATGAAAAAATTGTTCTCGGAGCTCCAAAAATATACCCGAATTTTTTCGAGTTGTACCTGGCCTGGCACGCTAATAAACCAGGCCGTGCTCGGACCCATAAAGGTTGGGTCATGCCTAACCCGACCCGATTTTTAAAAATTAATAATATTTAAGAGTGTGTTTGTTTGTGGGTTTGGAGTTTTAGGTTTGGATTTATAAATAGTAAAAAGTTAGAATTTGAATAGTTGTTTTATGTGATATAAATAGATTGTGATGTAATGTTTTGAATGTAAAATAAATTTATAGTATAATATAAAAAAATAAAAATAATTGTTTGATTTAATATTTTTAAAAAAAAAAATTCTGAAAAGTAAAAACCTAAAATTCACAAAAGAACATAACATAATATATTTATATATATAATAACTAATAACATAATAACAAAAATACAGATATAGTTTGATAGCAAAGTGTTTAAGTTATTTATATTAGGTTGTAAGTTCGATTCTTACGGGTTGTGCTCGGGCTTAGCTGTCCGGCCTGAATTGTCACCTCTATTTACCATCAATCTCTTTGTGTGAGAGGAAATTTTGATTTCATTTCTTTTGTATTTTATTTAAAAAAAAAAGTATTGAATTAAAAAGTACTATTTTATCTCACTAAAATAACATATAATTAACTTTTCAAAGAAGTATATATCCCAACTAAATAAACTATTATTTGTATTTTTTTTATATAATTATTATTACTAATTAAATGCATTATTCTCAGCAGTCGAATCGCTCGAATGAAGATTCACCGAGAAAATCCGAGGGACGACTAATATATTACCATGTTGCGGACGAGGACCACCAAGTACACGACGAGTATGAAGGGCATTCATTTCAATTTAAAGGGGATGGGGTCGAGGAATTGACTCGTAAGCTCGAGGAAGAAACCGGGCTTGAGAACATAATCGTGTGTTCTCGCAACAAAGTAACCGGAAAACTCTATCCTCTTCGACTGTCCCTTCCTCCTAACAGGGCGACTATGAACGTCGTCGTTGTTACACCAACATCACGAGATTCATAAGGCATCAAAGTTGTTTTCAGTCATTTTTATTTTTATATTTATTCTTTACTATGATTATTTTAAACTGTTCTTGGTAAAAAAAAAAAAAAAAAAAAACAATATATTCAAATTTTGATTTTTAGTAATTGTGATTATATATCATCTTATAGGTTCCGTTAATATATGGATATTTGCTATAATTGAGCTTATGTAAATTACTGAACAATTTTTTTTGTTATATTAAGGTTATTGAGTTTCTTATCCAAAATTGTTGTAATATTGTTAACTGTTATCTGAAAATATATTCTCTCTGTCCCATAAAAAAAACTTTTATTTTTTATTTTTATTCGTCTCAAAATAATGGTATCATTTTTTTTACCAATTGTATTGCTTACCTAATATAATAAATATCTTTGCAATTTACAGTATATTACACTAATGTCATTACTTTTATATTAGACAATAAAATATGAGTATTTTTGTCATTTTTACTACAAACTAATATAATAACAATATTAAAAAATCTACGTACAAAAAATAAATGCTACTCATGTTACGGGATGGAGGTAGTATAATAAAATAACCTACATAACAATATTTTTTATACATTTAAATAGTATAATACTCCACTTTTCTCACATAATTTGTATTTTTTTTCTATTTCGATATGTCCCACGTAATATTTTTTTCTTTTTAGAAATATAATTTGTATTGTAACATGCAAAAATTATTGAGCCATAAGTAAATAGATTTTATATACAAAAATTTATTTATATAAAATAAATAGATTTGTTCCATAGATAAACAAATAATATAATTAAATATTATTTACCTAAGGATTTTGAATTATATTTTGTGGATAAAAATATAAATAAAAAGTTATTTAGAAGGTAAAATGAGTAAAAATGTGTAATAATTACAAATAGGGAGTAAGGGAGTGATGTGGAATAAATAGGGAGCTAATGAAAAAATTATATGAATAGGAACCGATAAAAAAAATGATTTAGGAATTGGGGATTTTAGAAAAATTAACCCTTATAACTATATCAATTTTATAATAATTTAATATCAATTAATTGAAAATTTAGTAAAATTCTATTATTCATTAATTACTGGTATAAATAAAAATTAAGAAAATATTACATTATTTTCAAAAAATTAATTTTAAGAATTAAAAATGAAAAAAAATTATAAAATTATGAAATTTATTGGTTTATATATATATTAGGATTACAAAATATAATCAGCTATTTTTTATTTTATTGATGATCAATATAACTATTTTAATTATAAAAATAATAAAAATTATATTTCAAAATTATTAGATTTTCACTACCCTTAATTAGGATAATTAGGGATATAAATGAATTATTTTGTTATCTTTAACAATGTATTAATTATAATATACTTAATAATATTTAGTACATATTTATTTTATTTAAAAAATCCAAAAAAGTGAGAAAAAATACCGATATCTTATATATATACATATGTAGATGATAGACATTTATACTGTTATTAATTATTGCTATTATTTGTCCTTTTTTTTTTAAGCTAAAAACATAAATATAATAAAGAAATTTTATTTTTACATTTAGGTGTAAATGAGAAGACAACAAGTAAAAAGATATTAAATATAGCAATTTCCTTTTGAGGTTGGTTAAATTTTAGGAGCATCCTGAATCATTTTAATTCGTTGGATTGTTTTTATTGACAATCCAACGATTGTGTTTGATTGATGGTATTATGGTAATTGAAAAAAAAATAATTAAGATATTTAATTAAAAAAATCAATTAGAAAAAATTATCGTAACTACCTCTGATAATTTCGGGATTAAGTTTTTCTTAAACAAACAAAAATATTTCTCAAGTAATTACTTCCAAAATTGTATACATTCAAGTTATAATGATGTATACATCATCCCAAAATGATGTCTCTATGATACTATTATGATGTTTTACCACGAAATATTTTTCTTATATAACAAAAACGTTTCTCAAGTAATTACTTTCAAAATTGTATACACTCAAGTTATAATGATGTATACATCATCCCAAAATGATGTCTCTGTGATACTATTATGATGTTCTATCACGAAATTACACTTTCTTTTTTTTATTTGATTGTTAAATCAGATTTAAGAAACTCGAGTTTTTCTTTATTTCCAGTTGTTAAGGAAAGGTCTGCCTCTTTATTAATTGTAGCTACAGTCATCTGAGCGTCATCTACAGCCCTATTCAAAATAAGCATATGTGCGTAGTTAGGAGGATGCAGTTCATGGTTATGCTCGTCCACATATTCGGTGACGTAGTATCTCTGCATTTGTTCGTCGAATTGTAACTTCAATCTTGCTTCACACCCAGTACACGTCTCGTACCTTTTTCTTAACATGAATGTATATGATGGAGCGCCAACATCCTCTGAAGATATTCGTTATTATTAGGGTCTACTTTACTGTCCTTTTTGTACCCCTCTTTATTGCAACAATAGTGAATGTATTGCACACGATGAGGATCACTTTTTGCCTTTTTTTGCATTTTTTTCGCATGGAAAATCCTCATATATGTGTGTATCTACAATATGACTCGTACGCATCGTCTGAAGTTGAAAAAGATACACTAGCCCAATAATCGTCACTTGGGTAATCAAATGATATATGACGTTAAAACGTATGATGTCTATAGTAGTTTATTATGGTTTATGAAACATTGTATTATGATGTTGCTCCGGTGCAAATATTGAGTAACTAAACCTACCTCCATCTTTTTGTGCATTATATGACTGGGTAAATATTCTATACGTGTTTGAGGTATTAAAATAATAAAAAAAATAGTGGATATGATTTAATATGGGGACTGCCCCAAGTCGTCCAACTACCCATAATTTTAAGATGTTGACCCTAATTTCAAGGGCAATCTAGTATAATTCAATACTTCTCAATTTTGATAGTGTGATCTTGTTTACCGTATTGGTTACAGATATGATTTCATATAGCAATCGAATAATTTATATTAGAAAATTAACATTTTTGAATTAGCACTTACATAACTTCTATAAATTAATTCAATTAATGTTAATTGCAACTATTGTTATGGTGAATGACTAATATGATTATAATGCATATATATTTAGAATAAGATGCTAATAAAGTATGGATATGATGTAACAAAAAATCGTCAAAATGTTACTCTCGCGATCGATAAAAAATAGAAAACACTTACCACATTCTGCATTTTTGGAACGCTATATCCATCTGCGTCACATTGGAACTGAGTGGAATGCGCATCAATTTGCTTCATCCTATTATATGCTCCCGCTTCTCCACTATTTATTTTCTTCGATGGACATCAGTGAAAAAAAAATTGGCTTTTGGATGTGAAACGACTAAAATTATGAATACGATATGCATTTATCTCTATTTATATTCTCTTAATTTATGTTAAAACAAAACATTGATTTATTAATTATTAAAGTCAAATTACATATCTACCCCTGACTGCAATCTCATCCGTTGATTAAAATTTTGATCGGACGGCTGATATTTTTTCAGGACGGTCCTAAATATTGTATTCAGGACCATACCCGGTTTGTAAATATAGGGATGTCAACGGGGTGGGTTCGGGACGGCTTTTGCAGGCTCTGGGACCCGCCCCGTTAGAAAATATTATGACCCAAGATTCGCCCCGCCCCACTTCAACCCGGCTCTAGGACCCGTCCCTCCGGATTCAGAGACAACCCGACAAATCCGTTTTTTTTTTTAAATAATAATAATAATTTTTTTTAAAAAAAATAATTTAACATTAAAAAAAATATGCGTCAAAGTACCAAAAAATTATAGTTCGAAAAATAAAAACAATCAAATATTGACTATAGTTCGTAGTGATGACGACCAACAATAGTTGCAATTATAAAGATAATTGTAGGATAAACAAATGCTAAAATAAATTTGATTTAGAATTAAAGTTTTATTTTATATTTAAAAAAAATTAAATAAAAAATAATATAATTTATATTGTATAAAAATATAATAAATTATAATAATTATTAAAATATTCGGGTTCGGGTCCGGGGTGAGACGGATTTATAGTAAAACCCGTAACCTTTCCCGAACCCGGCCGGGTCTAAAACTCAAAATTTACAACCCGGCCCGAACTAAATTTTTTAAACCCGAACCCGCTCATTAAGACCGGGTCCAAGGCTAATCCGGACCCATTTGACATCCCTAATTAAATAGAGATATTATAAGTAATATTTATATATATATATGGAGTGAATAAGAAAAAAAATTATCAAAAATAAGGAATAAAAGAAAAAAATAATTATATAGAAAATAAATGAGAAATTTTTAAAATATTTTAAAATTAGGAGTTGAAACTGCCCTTTTAAGAATACCAAATTAAATAATTTGAAAATGATCTATTAAAACTCTCAATTTCAAAGCAGAGTAATTTTGAATGCAAAATGTCATTTTGATCTCCTTTGGGGAAGGGGCAATCGCCAACGCCAATCCGATCAGTTATTAAGAGCATATGCAATGGTATATATCCAACCCCCAAACCCTAGAACATAATACAAATACATACGGAAGAAATTGCTTCAATAAACTAGTATTAATTCTTTACAAAATATTTTTAAAATAATAAAAATAAATATTTTACTAAAATTTTTCTAATTTTTAAAATTAATAATAAAATTATAAAAAAGTTTACCAACCGAAAAAACCCAATTAAATATTTTGAAAATAAAATATAAAATGTCTTTAATTGTCATTTTATGTATAAACAACTAATATCAAATCGCTATTTTACCAAACACTTTAATACAAAAAGCTAATCGAATCAGCTAGTCAAACCAGCTAATTAAATCAGCTAATAGCTAATCGAATAAGCTAACAGCTAACAACTATCAACTAATTGACAAACACATCCAAAATAATGAAGTAATCCACTTAGATGGTGACCCAAGCGGATTAAAACTCAAAAGAAATAGTGTCAATCCACGAAGAAATTCAAAGTCATTTTGCTGCAGAAAATCCACACGTTGGCCCAAGATCCTAGGAGGCAAGTGGTGGAAGAAGGCTCAGATCCGTTAGAAACCTAGCGGATGATGTTTTGAATATAAAATTAAATTTTAATGTACTAAAATAAATAAAATTTGAGTGTTTGATTTGATATTTTTAGAGAAAAAATAAAATTGAAATAATAAAATCATGAATACAATCTCACAAGTAAACATAGTCCGTTTCTTTGGCCGTGAGTTTGGGAAACTTACTGAGTTTTTACTGTAGAAGCCTAATTAAGCGCCAAACCACCCTCCATAAGACAAAATCTAAACTCTACATAAATATGTTTTGACTTTTTCAAAACAGGTAAATACACTTTGGTTTGCTTAGTCGTGCGACAGTAGAACTGTTAAAATATATTTAGAAGTAATATATTATATTTATGGTAGTTATCTTATTTAAGAAATTTATAGGATTCTTGTCTTATTTAGAAAATTTGTATATCATTATAAATATGTACGTATTCTTATGATTAAAATAGAGAATTTCGTTTCACATTTTAACATGGTATCATAGCCAAATTCTCTCCGGGTACATCTATGACTCGTTATATCCCGTATATATTTTTATATTTTATTGATTTATTTGCTTCTATTCACAATCATGTTGTCATTTTCATATCGTCTCCGTCTACTACTCCACTGACAGAGTCTACTTTCGACTATAACACCGTTGAGAGTCCTCTTTTCGATTCTAACTCTATTGAGAGCGAGGAAGTCATATTTCCGACTCTAGCTCTGTTGTGAGCGAGCGAGTCATGTTTTCGACTCTAGTTCCGTTGTGAGCGAACGAGTCCTGTTTCCAACTTTAACGGTGTTGAGAGTTCTGCTTCCGACTTTGATCTAGTGAACGGTTACACCAACTTCAGTCAATCTTGGCGAATTCAAATTCATGGAATATCTCGGCTATATTTTTTTCGGTCACTTCTGACAAACTCAAGTTTGTTCGATCATAACTTGAGTTTGAAGAGGGGTGTTAAAATATATTTAGAAGTAATATATTATATTTATAGTAGTTATTTTATTTACGAAATTTATAAAGTTCTTTGTATATTATTATAACTATGTGCGTATTCTTATGATTAAAATAGAGAATTTCAGTTTTAATTCACATTATATTAATTATATAATATAATTTAATAACTTTACATCATTATATTATTATTACATATCAAATCAACATCTATCAAAATTCCTCAAATCAAAACAAAACCTATTAACTCAAACGAATGTATCTTCCCAAAGACTAAAAAAAATTCAAATTCAACCAAAACTTAAAACCAAATCTTCCCAAGCTAATACCGAATAAACACACCCAATGTTTTAATGAAATAAGTTACGCATAGTTAATGATGAAGATTCAACCTCAAACAAAGCTATAAAAATTATGATCGATGATGGGGAAGAGGTTTTTGACCAACACAATAATTTCTTTAGTCGGTGCTCAGATGAATTGATTTTTTATTTTAGGTACGAGAACTTAGTTGATAATATAAAAAATAATATTTTATGTTGAATGGTTGACTTTTTATGAGTGGATAATGTATATATTATATTAATGTGTGTGTATATTTGTATTTTTTAATAATATTTATGCGAAATTGTTCCATTGAGAAATGTTTAGTGACCAAACTGCTTATCATTTTATCTTTATTTTTCTGCATTTTATATTCCTTGCAATTTATTTTTCCGCAACTTTTCTTCAACCTTTCTTTCGATTCCAAATGTATTTTCCAAGTCTTTCCTTTCCATTTTTGATACAACTACAATTTTAAAGTCTTTTTATTTGAATTTCCATCGGAGAATTTTTCGCTAAATTTCATTTTCGCAAACGCGAAATATCACCTACTGGCTTTCTGGAGTGTCCTAGGGAACTCTTGGCTGTTCTTCGATCGATGTTATCAAGCCATCGTACAATTTAGAATATATGAATTTTTGTATGCAACAATCATATATTTCTAAAACATATATAATATATATTTAAAAATATTACCAAAAAAGTTACTAGTTCTGCTAATGACATTAAGGGTGTGTTCGGTTGAGAGATTTGGACAAAATCTCACTATTCATCCAAAATTTTTCCCCCAAAAACATCAAATCAAACACCTATTTTTTATTTTTTATATTATACTAAAAATCAATTTTACATTCAAAACATCACATCATCACCTATTTATATCACATCATACAACTATTCAAATTCAAAATTTTTACTATTCAAATCTCAACTCAAAATCCAAATCCCCAAACAAACACACCTTAAGTGTGTATGCTTTTATCAAAATTTTATAGATTTTTACTATTTATTAAAAAAAAATTCTTAAAAATATCAAATCATATATTTATTTTTAATTTTTTATATTATATTTAAAATTAATTTTATATATAAAATATTATATCAACATTAATATATATAGGATCATACAACTATTTATATTCAAATTCTATAAAAAAATAATAATAATAATAATTTCAAAATCCCAAACAATACCCACCCTAAAAAAAAAAGACTGCGACTAATCAAAGTCTCCGAAATACACCAGCCAATAAAAACCCATCTTCCTAACGCATTTGTTCCAAGTATATTCCTAAAATTTCCAGCCTATTATTTATAAATAAAATACACATTAAAGAAAAGCCATACCTAATCTCACTTGTCACAAAAGGAAAATGACACGACCCTTTTTCGTATATATATTTCCCCGCAAATAAGGACAAACAAGTGTGCGTTATTCAATCGACAATGACCGGAAAAAAAAAATAAAAATCGACCATGACCGGGAAGTTGCGCCTGTACGTCATTTTCCACGACCCAAACGCACCCACCCTTGTCTCATATATTTTTTTATTATTTATATTTAATATATATATTTTTTTATAATACGAAAATTCGCAGCTGCTATCCCAATCATGTCTTGTAAGTGATCTGAGCTATAACCTCACGGTCACACTTCTAAAACCACACCGAATCTCTCTTAATTTTAGGGGGTGTGTTTTTTTTGATGAATTCGAAAAAATTTTAATATAAATTTATATTAAAATAATGTATAATGTGATATTTTATTTAAAAAAATACATATATTTTTAAAAATATAAAATTTGAATAGTAAAATCTTGGAATTTTTTGGTCAAAATAAAAAATAAAAATAAGACTGATCCCTGGGATAAAGAAAACGGTGCTAACGTTTTAAATTGGCATGTAATTTTGCCTGAAATAATTTACGCACTAAATTTGGTGGTACCATTGCATTGTTTTATTTTCGTATATACCCGAATCACGCTCTTGTCTTCCATCCTTCTTATTTAATATATGTTGGGACTCTGCGCATCCGACAATATATATATATATATATATATTTATCTATCTAGTGTATGTATGTGAGTGCGCGCGTTGTTCTCGTCGTCTTGCTGTAGCTAGTTGCAGTCCTCGTGGCTATTCCGTTCGCGATCAGTAGAACCTACTGCAGTTTGGAAGTCGGTGTGCGATAGTTCGTTTCAAATCTCAGCTTCTCGGTGGTAATTCAGTTGATTGGGTTAGCTTCTCTTGTTTTTTTTTTTTTTTTTTTTTGGTTTTGTTTTGGATGTTAATGAATAAATGTAGTTATTTTTTTGGTTTGGTTTTACGGATTGAAGGCTTAGGAAGAAGTATTGGTCAGACTTTCGTAGGTACATATTGAATGGAGGGGGAAGAGGATAGGCGGATGAAGAAAATAACGATAGGAGTGTGTGCATTAGAAAAGAAGGTGAAATGAAGCTCCGAGAATTTTTCGTTTTTCAAAATCTCACTGCACAAAACCATGCGTCGTTTAGTTGGAATGCCTGTGACGAGGGTTCAGCTTCTTGTACATGTCTCGTGCTAATTTTTGCCTGTTCCATATGATTTAGGCTTCTTCGGCACCAATGTTCCAGATTTTGGAAAGACTGCAGGCGTTTGGAGAATTTGAGGTGATTAAACAGTTGTCAATAATATGTGAATTTCTCAAGAGATTAGTTATGACACATGCGGAAATGACTTTGTTACACTGTTCACAACATTATGTAAGTTCTTAGTTTTACTATTATTTCTATAAAGATCACTACTTTAACATGTATGGTTACAGATAGTGCATTTTGGGGACAAGGTAATCCTAGAAGAGCCTGTTGAGAGGTGAGTTTTTTTTTTGAGTGATATTATATTTATGAGATGATGATTATATTTGTGTACTAAATTTCCATTGAATCCTCATCTCTAAGATGATAAGACAATGTGAAGTTACAGAGAGGAGTTCTATACCCAATTCTTACTGCTAAATCCACATCTTCAATATGCCGTTAGCAAGGATTCATACTCGTAACATGTGAACTGATGCTTGATTGTTGATTGATAGCGTTCTTGGTATTGAATTGCAGGTGGCCTATATGTAAATGCCTGATCGCTTTCTATTCAACTGGCTATCCTCTGCAGAAGGCTGAAGCATATGCTGCACTACGAAAGTATGCTTGTATTTCTACATAATTTTTTTTCTTATTGCATCCATCTATATCATCTTAATCAGCAAGCTAGTTCACTCGCTATTTGCACTTGCACAGAACTATGATCTTGCTCCTACGTCATAAATCCTGTCAACTGTCACAAGCGTAATTATCACTGAGTTATGATAATAATCTCGGCATATATTTGAACTTAAAGGCTCTAGTGTAAGCTTCATAGCCAGCTTTAGAGAAGCCTTAATTAGCAAAATCTTAGAACATATGATAAACAAATGCTTTCATTCTGTGTGATCATATACCAGTTGGTGAATACCATGCTATTTTAGTTTTGAAGATTGCTCTGTTGAAATGGATGCAACTATCTTGAATAACAGGAAAATAAGATATTCAAAATGAGTTAATATAACACATTTATGCATGTTAAATGATTGCAGAGGACAATGTGAACATGGTGGGTGGAACCCTGTAGATAAAATATAACACATTGGATTGAAGTTTGCACAAATTGAGAATTTGATTTTTGTTTTTTCCAACCTCTTCTTTTTCTCATTTGAAATATTTATTATACTTCCAATATAAGAAGAAAATATGTGATTACAGCCTGGCTGCCTGAATGGATTTGTATACCTGTGCAGGTTCACCAATATGATTGCTTCTCCTTAAGGGTGTGTTTGTTTGGAGGTTTGAATTTTGAGTTGGGATTTGAATAGTAAAAATTTTGAATTGAAATAATTGTATGATGTGATATAAATAGGTGTTGATGTGATATTTTGAATGTAAAATTGATTTTTAAAATAATATAGAAAATGAAAATTAGGTGTTTGATTTGATATTTTTTGGGGGAAAATTTTGGATGAATAGTAGATTTTTTTGCAAAATCCCTATAAATATGTTGATCATGGTGTCTCAACATTCATATTATCATATAAATGTTCTTGTGCATGTGAATGTTAACACCATAAGTTGGAACATACTATTAATTTTGTCTTACGAAATTCTCTTTCTATTATGATGTATCACCTTTTATTTCTTCTTGTTGAAGGCCCTTTCTGGTCAATGCGCTGGGACAGCAACATCTTCTTCATGATAGAACAAAAGTGTATGAGGTTTGTATAATTTTAGCTTCTTGAGGGATTATATATATCCACATCATATCAACAGGACATCATTCACCTAGTTAATACACATAGGGTGTGTTTGTTTGAAGGATTTTGAAGGATTTCCACTATTCATCCAATTTTTTCCCCCCAAAAACATCAAATCAAACACCTATTTTTCATTTTTTATATTATATTAAAAATCAATTTTATATTCAAAACATCACATCAAACCCTATTTATATCACATCATACAACTATTCAAATTCAAAATTTTTACTATTCAAATCCCAATCCAAAATCCAAACCCCCAAACAAACACACCCATAATGTTTGTGGATTCCATTTGCTGCATTCACAAACTGAACATTGATTGTTTCCAAATTAAACTTTTTATTTCCTGCACTTGATTTTGCTGCTGTTCAAATTTCCTATCATCGCCCCCTGTTGAATTTGATTCTCATTGTCTCCAAGCATTGTTTGTTTGATTAATTGCTTTCTCTAAACAGGCCTCAAATATTGCAATTTTCTTATTAACTTTATTTATGTTGGACTGGTGCTGGGATGATTTCTTTGATGAGCATTCCAGCGACTTAAAATGTATGAAGTCCCCATCCCAAGATATGCTCTAGTTAATCGGCAGTTTCCAAATCAAGATTTGGATTATTTGGTTGAGGAGGAAGATTTTGTGGAGGTCCATGGAAATCGGTTTTGGAAGCCTTTTGTTGAGAAACCTGTTGATGGTAATATAGTCATGCATTATATAAATATATATTAGCAAATCTAGTTTCTTTCTAATTTTGAATTGTCATCATCATCTTAACCTTGCCATCATTATATAAATATGATTGTTACATCAATATAAAAATGTTGCACCGTTGCACATATTGCTTGCTTGAGGTATGCATGATATGTTTCTATTGAGTTTGAGATAGTATCATTTCTTTTTATTTTTTATTTTTTGGGGTACAGTTTTTGTGCCTCTGGCCACATCATAAAGGAAGTTTGTATTGTCCTGTCTCACCTTCTTTTATCACGAATTTGTGTAATTTGTTTTCATGGACTGCCCATGGTTGGCATTTAACTCGAAACTCACAAAGCAAAACAGTGTTGAGTTTTGTGTTTAAAAATATTTAAACAATAAAGAAGGGATACACGATAGCTGAAAGATAAAATTGTTGCCCTTGTGTATTGGGTGCTATTCACTGCAAATGATTGTTTCATGGTTTCCGGTTTTTCAGTACCAAAAAATTATGGTAATTTACTACTGGGCATTGTTGTCGAAATCAAAACTCAATATGGAGCTGTAACATTATGAATTATGGATGCTACTCTATGTAGCATCAATTCATTCTGTTTGTTTAGTCAGTATCTCTACCAAGAGCTTAGTTCATTGGTGTACTTTTTAACATTTCACAGAAGAAATCATGTAAATCAATAAGCACTTGAATTGTGGGAGTGGGCCAATCAAACTATAGTTAGAGTTTGAACTTCACTCTAGGAGACATGTAAAGTAATCTTATTCCTTCATATTCTTCTATTTATTTATAAGGGTGGGGGTGGCATTCCTTTTCTAGCCTTTTTAGGGTTACAATTGCAACAATTTCAAATGGCATAACTTAACATATGATTTTCTTATAGTTTACAATGCCTGCTAATTTACACTTCTGTTGTGTGAAGGTGATGACCACAGCATAATGATATATTACCCTAGTTCAGCTGGAGGGGGAATGAAGGAGTTGTTTCGAAAGGTGATGTCTGTAACTGATATTGAGTTAATTTTACTTGGTCACTGTGGTTTGTACTTCTGCCGTGTTACTATCGTTATCTTGTCAATTTGATACATTGTGTGAAGTCGAGTAAGTGTAACAGCCTGTGCTCTATTTACATTGATTTTAATAATAGGTAACAAATGAATGTAAAAACAACAAGAAATCTTACTATTTTCAATGGGATTCACCCCCCCATAGCAGAAAGTTGATTGCTGTAAACATCTAACAATTTATCCAGCAAGCTCACTTTTATAGCCTCCATTTTTACACCTTGAAAAAAATCTCCTAACTATTCTCGCTTTCCACTCTCAAAAGTATATGATGTAAGAACCTTGAATATTAACTCACAAGTAGGCCTAGTAGAAACCAAAGAAACTTGAAAACCAACGTTATCAATGATGAACACCAGTTCCACCTTGCTTCGAACCATGAAATATCCTCAAATGAGCTTCCAAACACCCATTACTCGCGAGTACATCTTCTCATTCTAAAACCTGTTTGAACCACATCCGAGCTTCACACAATTTGAGTCCAAAATGCTTCCTGAAAGGAAGATTGAAGCCCGGTACAAGTGCACAAGGATTCGATCCATCCAGTTTAGCTTCTTCTCTTTTCTTTGTAATAATTTTGTGTCCATATGCAATTGTGGAAGATTTTTAATCATCTTTTTGTTGCCACTTGCCATTACATATATATATTGAAATACATTAGTTCTTATGTCTAACAAAGTTATATGTATGCTCAACGTCATTCTTTTTCATTGTGAGCTCTCTTTTGTTTTTTGTTGCCCTCTTTGTTCCAAATATTAATTTAGATGAAGAGACCACCCCCCCCCCCACCCCCCCACTTTTCATTCTAAATTTCATTTGTTTATGTTCTCCTTTTTTCTTTTATTCATGATTACTCATTCTTAATGGTTTCTCAGAAATCCTCATGTTATTTCTCAGATTGGTAATCGCTCTAGTAAGTTCCATCCAGAGGTTAGAAGGGTAAGACGTGAAGGATCTTACATATATGAGGAATTTATGCCTACTGGAGGGACCGATGTAAAGGTTGTTTGACCTATGATTTACCATTCTGAGATTTTCTTTGTTAATAAATTTTATGATGTTTTTGTACTTTTTCTTTTAGTATCTTAACTATTTGAGTCTTGAGACTTCTGATTTAGAAAAATGGTCCACGTGTCCCTTTTTGGTCTTATTGCACGTTCAATTCTTGATCCTTCAAGAACTAGTCAACTTACAAGACAAATATATATATATATATATATACACATGCTGCTTTAGCTGTTCAATTTTTTGTTATCTGTGCTGTATTATGAACATTATTATTGACATACTTTTTTGTCCTTGAGTATCCTTGAGTTTTGACCTTGATTGCTCATTATTTGAGTTTGTGTCTCACAATAGCTGTCTTAAAATTTTTTGTGTCTGTGGGCATGAAAATTCTAATGAATGATTGATTCCATCAGCTATGTTTACTCATTTAATTGCAATGCCTCGTAACTCATAACAAATGTAGGGTTATAGGTTTGTTCTCATCTATCACCTCAGAGCTTTACCAAAACCAATAGCTATTACTGTGTTCTCTTGTTATTGTTCTTCTATTTCCTCGAGTCCTCATGACATAATTTTTATTGTTTTACTGTTTATTACGTTGTCTTCTCTGTGATCATTTGAACTTCTTGTGTGTGTCTCTCTTAAGGGATGAATGCATCGTTCTGTTCTTTGATATTTAACTGTAATTATCAAGACTGCGTTGCATATTGTGTATTTTAGGAAGTCTTATAGTTGTAGTTTTACAACTGTATCTTGTTATTAATACTAGGAATGCTGGTTAGAAAGCAATCCCATAACTCGTGAAACATGATAGAACTAAACATATTAAGGTGGAAGACATTTTATCAAGGAAAAGCGGGAAAGAACCTGTTTACTCATATTAAGATGGACATTTTATCAAGTTCACTCGAAGTCAACTTGCAGACATACCCACCAGGGGGCTGAACTGCATTGTCTTTGAAAGAATTATATCCAAGATGGGAATGGAGCACTTACTCACCAAGATGATGAACAGTGACAATACTGTATTGTTTATTCTTTATTTTAGAATTTTTTATATTTTATACTCTTGTAGTTCGATTCTTATCACAACTATATCTTGGTATGTGCTTAGAAAGAATACCATAATCACAGGGACTTCTCTCTCTAGAACTAGTTATCCGCATTTGACAGCCCATGTATATATATAGGTCAAATGACCTCATAATGAGCTAATATATATATATATATATCTTTCTTTTCCTTCTAATTTGAGAGTACTATTGATGATTTTTAAACTTTCTAGTATATTCTCCATTTCATTTGAATAATGAAGAATTAAGTATAATCCTCAGTCTACCTCAGGTATATACAGTGGGCCCTGAATATGCACATGCTGAGGCAAGGAAGTCTCCTGTGGTTGATGGTGTTGTTATGAGAAATCCTGATGGCAAAGAAGTAAGTGATCTGCGATTGGATATTCTGGATTAGAATTTTGGTAATGGTTGCAGCCACATGGGGTTTTATTCCACTAAGGAAATAAAAGAGCAACATGAAGCTTATCTTCTATATTGGCTGCTCTTTACTCTTTGTATATGCATAAGTGAAGATAGTGAAATATAATGACCATTTCTAAATTCTCATGTCCTGTTCGCTTCCTTATTTCTATAGATGTTCACATATAAACAATATTAAATGTGATCAAAGATATTTCATGGCCTCATATAAGACAATGATAACTGAATTACATCGTGTTTTTCTTCTAAACTTTATCTGCACAATGTTTAGATAATTGTCATTTAGATTCCTGCCATTTACAACTTAAAGTTGTATACGGAATTATTATCTAACCATACAAAACTTCAGATTGAAATTTATGTTTCACATGCAATGTAATAACCCAATAAAGTTATAAAATGTTGTACCCATGTTCTACATATTCTGCGGATTCTTCTTTTATTTATTTAATTCATCTTGATTGCCATATTTTGAAACGTTACCTTCTTTTCAGGTCAGGTATCCTGTTTTGCTTACTCCTGCAGAGAAGCAAATAGCAAGAGAGGTTTGCCTTGCATTCAGTCAAGGTGTAAGTCGATGTAAACTTAACTGTGCATTTCTTGTTCGAATGCAATGAATTCTTTTATTAGAATTTTGAATATTTTATTGCCTGAAATGGATTTTAGCAACTGAGCTTTTTAAATATTGGATCGCCATGTGTGTTCTTAGCTTGTTGATTATCATTTGAATTTGGTGGATAACCTTAAAGAAATGCAGCAACATTACCACCCAAAACTGTATTAAGCAGCTGGGCAGATTGTATTGTTTCTGTTTGTAAATTATTTTTCTGGTGCTTGTTGCTATACAAATGTGTTTATATTCATTCTGAGAGATGATTTACCTACTCTTCTTGTTAGAACTCATATTGGACACTTCAAATTTAATTCCCTATTCAATAATTGTGTTTAGGGTCTTGCTTATGACCTTTTTATTTCATCCATGGTTTGTCTTTACTCAGTTTGTTCGAGAAGAGCCTTGCAGAGAACTTATTGAATGAACATTTTTCTGTTAATTTTATTTCAGGTTTGTGGATTTGATCTTTTGCGTTGTGAGGGGCGATCATATGTTTGTGATGTCAATGGATGGAGCTTCGTCAAGAACTCCCACAAGTAATACTTTCTGGTTGTTGATTCCACTTTCTTTCATTTCTGGGTTTCGAACTGCACCAGTCTGATCTGGATGTTTGTTGTCTTGAAGCAGAAGATTTAGTCATGCTGTCATTACAGTTTCTTTTTAGTTCTCTTTCCTTTTGAATAGTGATTATTATTGTTAATTTCAGATATTATGATGATGCTGCTTGTGTGTTGAGGAAGATGTTTCTTGATGCAATTGCTCCACATATTTCTTCAGCAATTCCTCCTACACTACCATGGATGGTCAATGAGCCAGTTCAACCATCTGAAGGATTAACACATCAAAGCCGCAGTATAATTGGGGCATCTGGGCAATCTGAAGAGCTGCGCTGTGTGATTGCCATTATCCGTCAGTAAGATAATATCACTTTTGCTTCTATATTAGTTTTGTAGGTCTGTGTGCTCTTCAGATATCTCTTGTTTTTGGGTTTTGCTTGTATAGTGGTGACAGAACTCCAAAGCAGAAAGTGAAGCTGAAAGTTACTGAGGAAAAGCTTTTAAATTTGATGTTACAGTACAATGGGGGAAGACCTAGAGCAGAGGTGCTTATTAAGTCTTATATCGCATACTCTTTTGTTAGTTTTCATGTCCAAGTCTTATGTCTTAACCTTTTCAGTATCTCATGTGCATTTCCAGACAAAGCTGAAAAGTGCAGTTCAGTTGCAAGACCTTTTGGATGCTACACGGACTTTAGTACGTCGTAATAGGTGTGTGAATACTGTTTCTTAATATATTCAAGGAACTAATATTCTTGTGAATATGTGCATATTGGTTATCATTTTGAATAATATGGAGCACTAGTTGATGTTCTTATAGAGGAGTGTCCACGTGGCATCATTTTTCTTATGCTAGGTGGCTAAAATATAAATAGTTTCTACAATTTCTTAGTTGCTTCTTGACTACACTGATGAAGCAATCATGCAGACCTGGTCGTGGAAGTGATAGTGAAGCAGAAGAATTTGAGCATGCAGAAAAGCTTCGCCAAGTGAAAGCTGTGCTAGAGGAGGTCAACTGAATATTATGTCTTGAATGTATATAAAATAAATGCTTCTCTTTTTGGTTGATTGATTGGATTTGAATATTTTAAGTAGATCATCTCTGATTCTTCATATGCTTGCTAATGAATGATTCATGTCATATTGAACAAAAGAAAAATAATAGATCCATAGAAATTTTGCATTTGCATGTTTAGGTAACTATTGTGATTAACATAATTTTGATGCGCGGCATCTGTTTTGGCCATGGACTATTTTAGTACTTCATTGGAAAGGTGGGGATGGGAACAAAAAGGGCCCAAAAAAGATAATGAAGCATGTTGTTAGTTGATATATTATGTTGTTAAAAGCAGTGTTTTCACGGCGTCCCCGGCTTTCTGGGGAGCGCTGGGAGCATCTGCCTTGTTTTCTTAAAGAAGGGGGTTCGGCGACACCATGGCACCCGCCATGGGCTGTCCGCACGTGCCTCTGCAAAAGGCCGTCGTGACAACCTTGGTGAAAAGTACATGTCAACCCTGATTGGTGGAACCATATGTACATCCACATTTTAGTGTTGCTTGTATCCTGTTAATATGGTGTTTCAAAACCAAAGCTCTTGTTTTTGCTCTCTTTTCTCTAGGTATATTATTTGTTTTGCCTACTCTATTGCTTTCCCTTTTTCTCCTTTCCTTTTTCAATTTGCTTCTAAGGGATTTCTTGGAGATGGCTGTAATGGTATTTTTAATGAGTATCTGAACTTTTGGTACTAGGGAGGGCATTTTTCCGGAATATATAGAAAGGTTCAACTTAAACCATTAAAATGGGTGAAAGTGTCAAAAGAAAATGGTGAAGAAGTGGAACGACCGACTGAGGCTCTAATGGTTCTGAAATATGGTGGAGTTCTTACTCATGCTGGCAGAAAGCAGGTAATGAAAAAGTTGGATCATGTAATTCAATCTATATTGATCCTAGAATGTGCCACAGGCTTACTCTTTTAATTGTTATGAAGCGATGCTGTAATCTATGGGAATATCTTACTTCATTCATTGATTAGTAGTACCTGCACTGTGGTAATCTATATAATTACTTGACAGGCTGAAGAATTGGGAAGGTACTTCCGCTACCATATGTATCCAGGTTAGCAGTCAACTACAATACCTGTAGTTATGTATATTCCAACTAATTCTTTTTCGTCATTGTTTCTGCTAAAATCTCATGCCTATTATCGTCAGAATTTTACAAATACTACTTTTGTGCGTGTGGTTAGAGCATTACACATAGAAGATCCCTGTTTAAGTAGTTTGTAGCTTTCAAGGCTTTTATATTTTTAATAATGTGGTCTATTAAGATGTTTGTTTCATCCATCTGAATCTCTTTTTCATATTCTTGATATTCTTCTACATATGCTTACAATTGTGCAGGCGTGGATTTAGTGACATTCTATATGTTCAAAGTTGGGTACATTGTGGCATAATAAAAGTTGAAATAGAAAATATTTTTGTTAGATTATATCTATTACTTATGATTAGTTTAGGCTAGTTTAGACTATGGATATTTATTTGTTGTGTTATGTAATTCTATAATAACTGGGAATAGAATAAACATTTACATAGTATCATAGGATTTTGCATCGCCATAATTTGAAACAATTATCACAGGTATGGTTTGGATGATTCTGTCTTGTTATTCAAGAATTTAGGATGACACAATATTCATTTGATCACACTATATTCTCTACGCATGCTCCAGAGAGACTCGATTATACTTCGTTGTCTATGCTGGTGATATTGTCATTGACAAACTTTGAGGGTTATGAACGATCGGAAAAATTATATTTTTATGTGTATTCACCGCCTAACAATTACACAATATATAGCTGTTACAAGCTGATTTTCAGCATCTAATTAAACTAATTACAGATGTGGATCCTCTAATCCTGCCTTAATCTTGGTAAGTAAATATCTAATTACAGATATGAATCCTCTAATTCTACCATAATCTTGGTAAGTAAATATCATAAAATCCACAGCTGTAAATTAGAGCTTGACATCCCCCCCCCCCCCCCCAAATTGATGCGGTTAAATCAAAAAGCATCAATTTGCCAACAAGAAAGTGATAGCGCTGACATGTAACACACTTAGATATCAGTAATTTGTTGAGTAGTAGAAACAAGAGGGAGAGTAATGACAAGGTTTTTGTGAGCCTCTGATATGGGACAACCGCCAAGCACCGGAAACAATGGCCCGGTACCACTGCGTGTTTATACACGACGCAAAAAAGGGTATTTTGGTCTAATCGCTGCATTACCATAATTACTATATATTTGCATTGCAAAGTAGTCTTTATCTTATTTATAATTATATTTATAAGTTGATATAAATAAATGGAATTAAGGTCAGAGAAGTTTATCCAGAAAACAAGAAGTGTGAGCTGCTAAGGCTGGTGAGTAATAAGATTGATTCTTAATTCTATTAAATTGTGTTCTTGTTCCTATCAAATTGGTTTTACCTGCCGGATCTGTTCGACATGTCGATTACAAGAGATGCGAAAATTGTGGAAATAGAGAATACATTGGGAGGGGTCCGTGAGGAGCAGCGAGACATTCGACAGAAACTTGAAGCACTGAATATGTCCGTCGCAACACAACAAGAAGCGCTACAAAGCAGACTACGGAAATCCTTGCGGTTGTTCAGGCCCTTCAAAGAGCCCCTACAAGATCATTAGACCCATCTGCGTCCGCATCAATTGGAAGTCGCCGAATACACTCCCGCAGCAAAAGGAAGTTGGAGATAATCAAGCCCCTATACGACGCCTTTCTGATGTCACCTTACCGAGTTTTGATGGCACCGGTCCTATCGGGTGGATTGCACGAGCAGAACAGCAATTTGAATTACATCGGGTGACGGTCTGCAACGAGTGCAATTGGCAATGATTGCAATGGAGGGATCCATCCTGCACTGGTTCCGGTGGTATCGAGTGGAATTTTCCCAAGCTTTGATGGTCCGTTTTGATGATCGCTATGTTGGAAGCCCCTTTGAACGCTTAGCGGCTGTGAAACAGACTGGCCTGGTGGATGCCTATGTGGATAACTTTCTACAGTTAGCGAATCAGGTGCCGGGACTCGTTGAGGATCCTTACTTGGGGTATTTCCTGAATGGCCTCCAACATTCTCTTCGCAATAAGTTGCGTGCCTTTGAACCAAAAGACTTGGAAACAGCCATTCGAGTGAGTCGAAGTGTGGAATTGGATTTGTAGGAATCGCAATGAGCCTACTCGGGATCTAGAGCTGATCGGCCACCACAATCATGCGGGGCATCATGGGGACTTGCACAGTTGGTAATTTGATGCCTCAACCTAGGGGCACTAACTCGAGGCTGCCAGAAAAAGGAGGTGCTACTGTCTCGAAGGCTAGATCGAATCGATCCACCAGCACGGGTCAATCTACAGCAAGAACTTCTTTTCGTCGTTTGTCGCAACAGGAATGCAGTAAGGGACGAGGTAAAGGCCTCTGCTTTCGTTGTAATCTTCCTTATCACGCTTTACATGAGTGCCCTCAGAAACAATTGAGAATTTTGTTAATGGAGGAGGGAGATTCGTGGGGTGGAGAATTGCAGGAAATGACGGGTGACGCACCTATGGATCCCGAAAAGGGGGCTGCAGCTCAAGATGAATTAAACTTGGGAGATTTACCTCTGTACTCGATGGCGGGATTTACAGGACCTCGCACTATGAAAATTAGAGGACTTTTGCAGGATAAAAGTGTGATTGTGCTGATCGACAGCGGAGCAAGTCATAATTTCATTTCGCATTCTATCGTAACAAAGATGGGATTATTGACAGAGCCTACAGGCAAGTTTGGAGTCACACTAGGGGATGGGCGACGTTTGGAATGCCGAGGAGTATGCCCAGGCTTACAGATTACTTTGGAAGGATGCATAGTCCAAGCTGATTGTTATGCTTTCCCCTTGGGTGGGGTGGACGTGATCTTGGGAGTTGCATAACTTAAGACATTAGGGAATGTGCGGGTAAATTGGCATACGATGTCAATGTCTTTCAAAGTGGATGGGGTGCCGACCACCTTACAAGGAGATCCAGCTCTTAGCCGTTCCTCGGTAGCCATCCGATCCATGCTCCACATTACCCAATCAGAATTTTGTGCCATCGTAGTGGACTCAGCATGGTGTTTGATGCTGCGGAAAGAGGGTGCATCAACCTCTCAAACCAATGCAGCTCTCGAAACTTTGCCAAAGACATATGCAGAGGTGTTTGGTGAGCCCACGGAACTCCTTCAAACCAGATCGGTGCACCACCATATCATCTTACAGAATGGAGCAAAGCATATCTCCGTTCGTCCCTACCGTTATGGGCATGGGTAAAATGACGAAATCAAAAGACTAGTGGAAGATATGTTGTGCACAGGCATCATATTGCCAAGCTCAATCCCATTCTCGAGCCCCGTGTTGCTCGTGAAGAAAAAAAATGGTAGTTGGCGATTTTGTATCAATTACCGGGAACTAAACAAGCTTAGCATCCCGAACAAATATCCGATTCCTGTTATTCAAGAGATGTTAGATGAGCTTGCGGGTGCAGTGGTCTTCTCAAATATTGATCTTCGTTCGGACTATCACCAAATTCGAGTTGCACCATCTGATATACCAAAGACGGCGTTTCGGACACATAGTGGCCATTACGAATTTCTAGTCATGCCATTTGGGCTCATGAATGCTCCGGCAACATTTCAGGCTACTATGAATGATCTATTTAGGCCACTCTTACGAAAGTTTGTCTTGGTTTTCTTTGACGATATACTTATATATAGTCGATCGTGGGAAGCCCATCTCGGTCACTTATCTCGTGTTCTAGCGATCTTGCAGGAAAATGAATTTAAAGTCAACAGAAAAAAAATGCTCTTTTGGTTGCACTTCAGTGGAATACTTGGGGCATGTCGTGTCGGAAAAAAGAGTGGCGATGGACCCAGAGAAAATTAATGCAGTGGTAAATTGGCCGATTCCTAAATCGGTGAGGGAAGTAAGAGGATTTTTTGGTCTTACAGGATACTATAGGCGCTTTATCCAACATTATGGAGTCATAGCTTGTTCGCTTACACAACTACTGAAGAAAACAGCCACGCCATTCTTATGGACAACCCCTTCACAAGCTGCATTTGATGCCTTAAAGGCTGCTCTTACTACGGCGCCCTTACTAGCTATGCCTGACTTTCAAAAGCACTTAACAATAGAGTGTGATGCATCCGGAACAGGTGTAGGAGCTGTTCTTATGCATGATGAGAGACATATCGCATTCTTTAGTAAGGAGTTAGCAGATAGAACCCTTGCCCCATCCGCCTATGAAAATGAATTGATGGGTTTAGTTCTTGCAATTCAGCATTGGCGTCCTTATCTAATTGGTCGAAGGTTCACAGTACAGATAGACCACCATAGTCTGAAATACTTGCCCACACAACAAATTGCTATCCCTTCACAACAAGTGTGATGGCCAAACTATTAGGGTACTATTTCGATATCGTCTATAAGCCGAGCCGAGTTTACTCTGCAGCTGATTCTTTGTCACGGCATGGTGAGAAGGGAGGGGAGTTATGAGCCATAAGTGCACCCATATGGCTAGGTTGGGAGGAGATACGCGATGAACAATGTAGAGATCCTTCTCTCCAAGCAATCCGAAAAGAGTTACAAAATGGAGGCACAACGCATAGTAACTTTGAGCTGATTGTGGCCAACTGCTCTATTGAGGTCAGCTGGTCATACCGAAGGGTTCTGAATGGATTCAGCGACTGCTTTGTGAGTTTCATTCAACCCAGGGTGGAGGACATGCGGGTGTTTATCGCACATATCATCGTTTTGTATTGGCGGGGTATGTACCGTAAGATACGGGATTATGTGGCCTTTGCATCGTTTTCCAGAAAGCTAAATATAAAACATCTTCTCCGGCGGGTCTTCTACAACTGTTGCCGATTCCGACGATGATTTGGGAAGATATCTCAATGGACTTCATCACCTTGTTGCCTAAATCCCAAGGGTTCTCTTGTGTAATAGTGGTGGTGGACCGCTTAACCAAGTATGCGTACTTTATTGCTTTACGCATGCGTTTTTCAGCCCGTTCTGTAACTTTTTTTATGC